GGACTGATGATAATGACGCGTGTCTCATAGAGCTCTCGTGGGGACTGAGCAGGGAGCCTCGAGGGCTCATGATGGACATGACTTCCAGATACAGGGTTGTTAGTTTCTTCTCGCCCCATCAGGCACCTCCAGCAGGGGCTGAACATAATGGGAATTATTTCTTCCAAGTCAAATGGTGACATTCAAGGTATTGTTTTTATTTGTGAGGTATCCCATATAACAATACTAAAAACAAGGTATTATTTTTGTTTGTGAGATAGCCCTTGTAGCTCAGTCGGTAAAGAACCTACCTGCAATGCAGGAGACCGAGGTCCAGTCCCTGGGTCGGGAAGATCCCCTGGAGAAGGGATAGGCTACCCACTCCAGTGTCCTTGCCTGGAGGATCCCATGGACAGAGGACCTGACGGGTTACAGTCCATGGGGTCACAAGAGTCAGACACCACGACTTAGTGACTAAACCACCAAGCGCCGCTACCAGCCCATGTATTGGGTGCTTTCCTTCGCTTGTGATCAGCAGTCTACCTTTTTTTTTGTACTGTCTGTATTTTCAGAATTGCATTTTAGATAAAGTTCACATTAAGCCAAGAACTGAATTAAAATACAGTTCAAGTTCATTTCTTCTGCTCCTTTGCTTTAATTTTAAATACAATGTTTAAGGTAAGAAGAATTTATTTTTATTTAAAATAATAAATTGCACTAGTTTCAGTGTGGGGCTATCATGCATCACATTGCCGTGAACACTCGTGTACAGTGTTTGCATGCACGGTGGTTCTCGCTGCTCTGGAATAAGTGTCCTTGAGCGGAATTGCTGGGTTGCATGGCAGTTTTATGTACATGTTTCTTTACTCGTGACTGCTCCGGGTCGCTGTTGCTCCGCGTGGCTTTCTCTCGCTGCAGGGAGCAGAGCTCCTCTCATGGTTCGCAGGCCTCCCCCTGCAGGGGCTCCGCTGGTTGCCGAGCGCAGACCCGGGCAGCTGGCTGCAGGAGCTCTGGCGCACGACCCTAGTTGCCCTACAGTGTGTGGAATCTTCCTGGACCAGGAATCGAACCCGCGTCTCCTGTAGTGGCAGGCATCCTCTTAACCACGGGACCACCAGGGAATTTCTATGTATACGTTTTAAGAAAACTGCCAAACTGTTTTCAGAGCTTATACCATTTTATAGTCCCATGAGCAATGTGTGAGTGATGCCATTTCTATACCTACTTGCCAGCATTTGTTGTTATCACTCTGTTTTATTTTACCGTTTGGATAGGTATGTATAGTGAAATTTCATTGTGATTTTAGCTTGTATTTACCTGATAGTTAATGATGTCGAACATCTTTTCATGTGCTTATTTGCCATCTGAACAAGGTATACAAACGGCATATCTTTGATGAAATATTTGTTCAGGTTTTACCCATTTGCTAATTGGATTGTTTGGTTTTATTTACTAGTGAGTTTTGAGGTTTCTTTATATAGTCTAGATACTAATCCTTTGCTGAGTGTGTGGTTTACAAATATTTCTCCTAGCCTATAGCTTGTCTGTTCATCTTCACATGAGCTTTCACACAGCAAAAGTATTTTATATTGATGGAGTCCAGTTGATCAAATTTTCTTCTTATGTGTTTGTACTTTTGCTATTAATGCTAAGAACTCTTCTTTGAGCCATACATTCCAATGACTTTGTCCTAATTTTTTACTGAAAGCTTTATGATTTCACTTTTTTACCTGTAAATTGATGATCTGCTTTGAATTAATTTTGGTATAAAGTATAGAGTTTAGGTCAAGTTTTCTTTTTCTTTCTTTTGCATGCATGTTAATTGTTCCAACACCATCTGTTGAAGTACTTTTGAACAGTATAAAATCACTATATGATTTTTAAATCACATTTAGATTTAAAATCATATTGTTCAGTATATTTGTATGGGTCTGTTTTTGGCTTTTCTCTTTTTCACTTATGTATGTGTCTATCTATCTGAAATACTCACTACTTAAATATAGTAAGCAGTCTTAATGTCTGGTAAAATGATTCTTTCCACATAATTCTTCATCAAGATTGTTTTAGCTATTCTACGGTCTGTGCCTTCTTATGTAAATTTTAGAATAAACTTGTCTATGTCTTAAAAAAAACTTTTCTGGAATTTTGATAGGAATTGCATTAAACTTATCAATAATTTTGGGGTAGTTGACATCTCTACTATGCTCAGCCTTCCTGTCCATGAATATGGTAGACCTCTCCGTTGATTTGCATCTTCTTTGACTTCTTTTATCAATAGTGTAATTTTCACACACAGGTCTTGCACATGTTGTAAGTATATACCTAAATATTTCATTATCTTTGGAGTAATTATAAATAATATTAAATTTATTATTTTTGCATTTGAGTGAACACAAATTGTATCTCATTGTGATCTTGATTTTTTTTTATTACCGTGATCATCAATGTAGTTAAACATTCTCTTTTTTCATTTATTAATCTTACATATATATCTCCCATTCTCTTAAGTATCTGTTCATTTTTTATGTATTCTTCATGTGGATTCTTTTCAGTTTTTTATAATGCACATGTCTCTTCCCAGTTGTAGCTTATCTTTTTATTTTATTTAAGTTTTTTTTTGATAAACAGCTTAAAAATTTTAATATCATTAGATATGTCAATCTTCTAATTTCTATTCAATTAATTTTATATCTTATTTTGGAGATATCTAGAATTTTTATCTCCAAGTCAAAATAACCTGAATGAGCTAAATTAACGGAGCGTTTTTACTGGAAACAATTTTAAAGTGGAAAATGCCAGTATTAAAAGTCCTCTTCCAAATAAGCAGAGAAACTGCTCCCTGAGACGCTGTCTATAATGTGCCCGAGCAATTAAATCTTTTTATTTAAAAAGGAAAATAATATCTCCAATAATTTTGGAATAAAAAGAAAACTACTTTTCATTTCAGGAAAGTTTCCCCATAAAAAGTGAGGGGCATAGATTCTTAAAGCTTCTCAAGACTTGAATTTTCTCTGTTTATTTCCAAAACACAAACTAATTTCTACCTCATGACTTCTTACATTGTTCTGTTTTAGAATATTTCAGTGTAGTACAGAGGACTGACTCTTAAGTTAGTAGTGATTTTGAATTTGACTATTAAAGAAGGGAGATTTGGTGCCCCAAAATGTAATATATAGACTTTGGGTTGAGCTGTATTGTTTAGCTTACATAATCAGCATCTACAATTTTTCCCCATCTGGTAAAAGGATCTAGGTACTCCACGAAAATGAAAAAAAAAAAAACAAAAAACCCACAAGATCCTTTTACTACATGTGGCCTGTAGATACAGAGCTATATATGAAATTGCCTACCCTAACCATAATAGGTCAACTGTTTGCCCTCCAGGAAAAAACATATTCAATTTATTTATGAAGACTTCTTTGTTTTTATTACATATATTTTAATTTTTGTTTTATTGTCATTTTAATGTTTCAAAATGCTGACATGGACATACACACACATACACATTTACACAAAATATTCGTGATCTCCAGTCCTAATGTGAAAACTCAGCAAAATAAGAGACATTACTTTGCCAACAAACGTCTGTCTAGTTCAAGCTATGGTTTTTCCAGTGGTCATGTATGGATGTGAGAGTTGTAAAGAAAGCTGAGCGCTGAAGAATTGATGCTTTTGAATTGCGGTGTTGGAGAAGACTCTTGAGAGTCCCTTGGACTGCAAGGAGATCCAACCAGTCCCTCCTAAAGGAAATCAGTCCTGGGTGTTCATTGGAAGGACTGATGCTGAACCTGAAACTCCAGTACTTTGGCCACCTCATGTGAAGAGCTGACTCATTGAAAAAGACCCGGATACTGGGAAAGATTGAGGACGGGAAGAGAAGGGGACGACAGAGGGTGAGATGGTTGGATGGCATCACCGACTCAATGGACATGGGTTTGGGTGGACTCCGGGAGTTGGTGATGGACAGGGAGGCCTGGCGTGCTGCGGTTCATGGGGTTGCAAAGAGTCAGACACGACTGAGCGACTGAACTGAACTGAAGCCATTCTTTGGGAAACACAAAGTACAGTACAAAGCAAAGCTTCTAAAGATACTGACAGCATTGTGACATTTTTAAGGATTCTTAAACACATTAAGAATATTCTGGTATTTTCACTCTGTAAGAGGTGGTTTTCACCTCATCCAGCACGGACTTACCTTGTATCAGACAACCACCCTCTTTGTTGCAAAGACTTCTGTTTGCCCTTTGCATCTTGCCCGCAATCTCTGTGGGCTTAGACTCACCCTGAGGGCAAAGCTCGGGGTGCTGCCAGTCCAGCCACTGGGCATCCTTTTCTCCATCCTTATTCAGAAGCTTGATTTAAGTAAATGAATTACTGAAATGACTTCTAGGGATAAAATCTTACAGTCACATGGACACAATATGTGAAAGGATTTGAATTGGGGGAAATTCTTGGGCTCTTTTCCAACTTTCTTCTTCCCCAAACCCTTCCTATTTTAGCACAAGTCTGCGTGTCTTTCTGAGATTAAACGGCCCTGACTTTTTCTTGAATCCAGGAAGCCCGTGTTTTCTTCTCTTATCGCTTCCTCTCGCTCAGACTCATCAGAGCCGGAGAGTCGCGCTCTGCTTCCTGGCTGCCTTCCCATCCCCGCTGACCCTCCTGCAAGGGTGTTGCTGAGATCTTTCCTGGAAAGAATCTGCACACTAAAACCCAAAGCTGGATGCTTTTGCACACACACTGCTTTTTCAAATATGCAGAAGGCTCGAGCTGCCAGCGTGCCGTGAACCTGCCAGTGTTTGCTAACTATTTCCAGAACATTGGCTCGGTTGCCAGGTATTACCATGTTTTTTTTCTCCCCTGGTGAAAATGCATTTAAAAGAAGGGTCATAAAAATATGGTTGCTTTAATAGGAACTTTATTGTATTGTTAGCACCAAGTTACCTGAAAGACATTAAAATAGATTCATTCTTTTAAAAGTTCCAACAGTGACATAGGTGCTTTTTTTGGTCTATACTTTGCAGAAGTGAAATTTTTCTGTCAAACACCGGCTATTGCTGATATTGTAATCCTGGTTGATGGCTCATGGAGTATTGGAAGATTCAACTTCAGACTGGTTCGATCTTTTTTGGAAAACCTGGTTACAGCATTCGATGTGGGCTCCGAGAAAACACGAATTGGTGCATCTTTTTTTAAAATTAACAGCATCGGCTCTTAGTGTGAAACCACCGGGAAGCTTCTTAAGAAATTTCAAAGATTCTCTACCAAATGTTTTTCAGAATTTTAGGTTTAACTATAGGAATGTTCCGAGAAGGGCAAGTTTGCATCAATAAATATTTATTTCTACTAATTTTTGCTGTCACAATGTCACTCAATTAATTAGATCATATTTCAATTTTTCTGGAAAGCCAAAATCTTCTATAATAATAATAATTATTATTTTATTATTAGTAATAATAATTTTAAATAATAATTTAAAAGTTACTATTAGTTTAAGAATTTATCAGGTAAAAGTTTTCTTTTATTTAAAAAGCAATTGAATCCAGTGAAATGTTTAATCAACAACTGGAAAAAGTTTTATTGTGTGAGATAATTTTTGCCAAATTCTTGCTGTGGTAAAAAACAACAAAAAAGTTGTAAATCTTTGAGAAATATATCCATTTTATTATATAAAGTTTCCTAGTTTCACTTCTCTAAAGAGCCCTTAAGGAAACTCTTTTCTGTGGGAATAAAAACAAAATACAAACACTATAGTGTATACAGAAGTCAAAATATAATGTCATCCATGAAGCTTGTATGAGGTTATATAAGCTGGTATCAATATTACCTCAATAAAAAAAATTAAATGAATCTAGACTTTTTATGTACAAACATGATCAGACTTTTAAAAAATGCTAAGTACCTGATTGGGTGCCTACTTCTAGATGTCTGGAAAATATATACATTCCATCAGCCTCCAGATATGTTGAAAATTCTTTAAATTGACATCAGGAACTCACTTTGAAATTTTTCAGGGAGGCAGAGAAAAAAATGTTGCAAAACTTAGCCACTCCTGCCCCCCACCCCCCCAAAAAAAATTAGGCCCTGCATCATTTTAGTCTGTTGAATGGTCCACTGGACCTTCGAGTAACCCATCATTTCTGGGTGGGCTCTCTCATCTCTCTTTCCAGGTCTGGCTCAGTATAGCGGTGACCCCAGAATAGAATGGCACTTGAATGCCTTTAACACAAAAGAGGAGGTGATAGAAGCTGTCCGAAACCTACCGTACAAGGGAGGAAATACACTGACAGGTATGTTTTTGTCTAGTCCACATTTTTGGCAGCATGTCTTGCCAACGAACAGTTTTATTACTTCGTCACTGTGTGTGTCTTAGCATAGTATTTTTAAAGCGAGCTAGCATTTACAGGTTTTAGATGGCTCTTTTCTCAAACTGACATTAGCAGTCACATGCAGACACCTCATTCCTTGTGCGCTACAAATGTGATGTCCCAGGAAGGGCTCGGTTCAGCTGGAAGAGTACCCAGCAGTCCTCGATGCTGACAGCCTTAGTAGCTGTCTTAACCTTTTTCAATTAATTTTCCTTTCTTTTTTCACCCACTTTCTCCTCCAGTCACCCTGTCAATTAAATAAGAACACATTTCTACCTAAATTTTCAAGGAAGATAATTTCTTTGCCCTTACTCTGCAATCAGTAGTTATCATGAAAATATTTATGGAGCTTTGGCTCACCAGCTTTTTTGATAAATGAGTATAGTCAGCCCTTAGCATCTGCAGCTTTGACCAATCAGGGATCAGAAATGTGTGGGTAAAAAATTCCAGAAAGTTCCTAAAAGCAAACCTTGAATTTGTCACATGCTGGCAACTATTTACATAGCATTTATATTGTATCAGTTATGATAAGTAATCTAGAGATGGCTCAGAATGAATGCGAGGATGCACGTAGGTTGTATGCAGATACTACATCAGTTTACATAAGGGACCTGGGCATCTGTGGGTTTGGGTGTCGTGGGGGTCCTAGAACCCACCCCTCTGTGGATACCGAGGAACGACTGTAATGTAAGAGCCTTTCTATTGCAGTTATCCCGGCCCAACCCAAGGGCTTGCCCTGTGGCTCAGCTGGTAAAGAACCTGCCTGCAGTGCCGGAGACCTGGGTTCAGTCCCTAGGTTGGGAAGATCCCCTGGAGGAGGGAAAGGCTACCCACTCCAGTATTCTGGCCTGGAGAATTCCATGGACTGTGTAGTCTATGGGGTCACAAAGAGTCAGACACAACTGAGTGACTTTCACTTTCACTTTCAACCCAAGGCTTTATCACACATTTTAACCCTTACAAGCTATTTCCTTCTATAGACCCACAATATGGATGCTCAGTTTAAACAATAGAGATGCTGTCATTGAATTTTAAATAAACCACTGAAATCGTGATCATTACTTTGCCAGTTTGAGGCTTAGTCTAACAAGTTTTTTGTTAATACAACAAAAATGTATTAAGCACAAATTGCATAACATTATTCAGCATTTCTTACATTTGAGGGGTATAGAATGTCACACTGAAAAGTCAGGAGTTCAATTACTATTTTATATCTCCCCTTCTTCCCCTATAAGGCAGAGAATCTGTGGTTTCTTTAGATCACCATGAACAAAATGGAAAGTGTAGCCATAATATTTGGGACAGTTGCTTCTGTGAGGGTATTCTTGCTTCGTTGTAAATTATAGAGGTTTAGATTTTTTTTTTAAATTTAATTTTTATTGATTTGGTTTTTTGGCTGTGTCATGTGGCATGTAGGGTCTTAGTTCCCCAACCAGGGATCAAACTCACACCCCCTGCATTGGAAGTCTTAACCAGAAGACCACCAAGGAAGTCCCAAGGTGTAGATTTCTTGTATGCATATCTGTCAACATTCATTGTATAGGACTCCGCTGTTCTTTATAAATGCTAGTTTCTGAAATGATGCAGTATTCAGAATTTTTATCACCTCTGTTTTGGTGATTTTAGTGTTTCATCAGATCCGTCAAAGAATAGTTCGCTGTGGAAATGAAGATGGAAGTTCACATCTAATAAAGCTCTTCTTCTCATCTAGTGGCTAGTTTTGGAGAACTGAAAGGTTTTTTATTTGAAAAGGTTGACTTGTCTTTACTTTTTCTTGTTTTCTCCTAGGTCTTGCTTTGAATTACATTTTTGAAAACAGTTTTAAACCGGAAGCAGGAGCAAGGACTGGAGTGTCCAAAATTGGCATTTTAATCACAGATGGAAAGTCCCAAGATGATATTATTCCACCATCCAGAAACCTTCGTGAGTCTGGTGTAGAGCTCTTTGCCATAGGTACGTGTTAACTATGGTCCTGTTAGAATAACGAACATGGACACACAACCACTTAAAACTATATATAATGCAAATGCACTTCAGTGAGAGCCAAGAGACCTGAGCGCTCTCGAGTCTTTTAAAAAAACTGTAATGGTGTTTAGTTGATTTACAGGCTGTGTTAGTTCCTTGTGTGCAGTGAAGTGAACCAGTTACACACGCATATCTATCCACTGCTGTTTAGATCCTTTCCCCAGGTAGGTCATACGGCGTATTGAGCAGAGCCCCCTGTCTCCGGGAGATCCTTATGAGCTGTCTGTTGTGTATATGCGTGTCTGTGACTCTCCCAGTTCATCCCCCCCCCCCCCCCCC